TCCAGAAAAAAACTGTTGAAGCTTGACTTGCGTTTTGTACTCCTCATTAACATATTCGATGTTGAGGTAGGCGAACAATGCTGCGGTAGAGTCAGTCAACTCTGGGAATGAGGGTAATTGGCATGCGAGCCATAGGGGGGCGGTGTGCGCGCATTTCTAGTCGAAGATACCGGTTAAGGCGCCGTTGGAGTCGACGAGGATGTTGGATGCGTGGAGGGAGTGGTGGTGGAGCACGAATACCTCTTCCTCCGCCTGCTCAGGAAAAACCTTCGGTATGAGATCAAGTAGGCGTTGCGCTCGCTGTTTAGCTTCTTCGACCTTTCCACGGGCATACTTAAGGTGCGGCGCTGTATCCATTCTATCGATTTGTTTCTTCCATATAGTGGTGGCCGCTTCGTCAGGCTCGCCGGGATAGGAATCGATGATGTTTTGATATATCGAGCGCTTGATCTCGTCCGACGTTTCAAGATTGGACTCGTCGTCAAGATCAAAGAGGCTGAGCTGCAGTTGTGCGGTAAGCCAGTCTTGACTCCGCTTGTAAGGGCCGCGCGGGACGTTGTGGTCGATGTGTGCGCCCCAGAAGAAGGGCGCGGAGACGATCTTGCCTAGGCCGACTTTCGTGGAGAGGATTGAGGCCTCCAGTGTAAGCAAGGCGATATCATCCAGGCCTGGCGTGGTTAAATGAGGAAGTTCATTCGCAGGATACAAGTTGCCCAGTTGATCGAACCGCTGTTGGAAGAGCTGCGCGTGAACAGAGACCATTTTACGCACCAGTTGCTCTTTCTTGAGATAGTCCATGCCCTCCCATTCATCACCCAGTTTGCGACCGGGCATACGCGCCCTAAGTATCCACTCAAGTCCAAGTTCGTTGTCGGTATTAGCCTGGTAGCAGAAGACCTATGGTACTGGAACCTCAGTGTGATGACGGATGTACTCGATAGTAGCCACCTCGCTCATAGTCTTTGATCGTGCGTCGACAGGGACAGTTAGACGCAGGATGTATTCTTGGCCGCGGCCACATGTGACGGTGTAATCCTTGTCGAAGTTGTTCTGGGTTAGGAAAATTGAACTACGCATGGGTCTGGAGTCGGGATCTTCAGCTCTCGTCGCACGAGGGTTGTGATGTCCTCAATGCTGGGGTCGGTTGTCCACTCAGTCATCACTCCGGAAGACCGGTCCTTCTTCCAGCGAAGTCCTTTTTGGGTGGTCACGGGCATACCAACAAGAGTACCCATTTTGATGACAGTAGTGGTGTTGGAATGTTTTTGACTGGAATGGCGAAGTGATGATTTTGTCTTTCCTATAGAGGATAAAGTAATATACAAACCGATACACTGCTTACTCGAAGTATTGTCACCTTTCACAACTATGGCTTTTACAGCTCGAGTCTTGTAGGTGCTCTTACAGTGTGAAGGCTCAGCTGTATAGTATCACGAAGGTTAGGGGCGGAGGATAGGGCGATATTGATCATTTCATGCTCGCTGTAGGTAAGATAATGAGCGAGACTATTTCGTTGTCGCGAACGACGTTGATCTACGCATGTACTTTGTGGACTTCCTTATCCACCGAGACAAAGAGAAAATACCAGAAAAGGAAAAGATGCAACCCGCGACCATAGGTCATACTGCTGATGATATGCGCCGTCCCATGCAAGATTGACAAAAGATCGTTGACAATGAAAAAAATTGCCGATTTCCGAGAGAGAGCCCCCAATGCTATTCCGTCTGCGCCAACACGCCTTTCTTCCTCTTCTAATCCAACGAAAACTTCTCCCTCTTCCAGGTCTCGCGGTACACGGCAATGGTACTCGCGGCGTCTTTGCAGCGCTCTGGTGCACGGACGGGTAGGTCGACGACAGCGCGACGCAGGACGCCACGCGCAGGTACGCCGTAGAATTGGATGAACTTCTTGTGGTAGTCGCGGATCAGGCCGCTGAGAATGGCGAAGTGTCCAGGCCAGAGTTGCTCGGAGGGTGTGTTGCATATCGATGAGATGGCATGCCAGTACTCTGACATGGGGATGGCAGGCGCCTTAGCGGCGAATGAGCGGAGGGACATGGAGGCGTAGCCAGCTCCGATACCGCGCATGCGCTGCGAGTATGTCTCTGGAGTTGAGTCCTCTTGCCAGCCTAGGCGCAACCGACCTTCCTTGGTGTTCATGGTACCGCGGATGCCAAACAGAGGGGGGCAGGCCTTGTGTAGCTTGGCCAGCGCAATGTCGATGAGAGGAAGACCGTTCCACATGTACTTCTGGTCGCCGAACAAGCTGGCTGCTATCAAACCAATCTCCTGGATGATGCGTCCGTCGGTGTTGGCAGCCTCCTTTTCGAACTGCTTTACGAGGAACTTCTCAAAGCAGATCCAGACGTAGAGCAGGAACGCCGGGTATGCGGCTTCGTTCTCGTTGGCCAGCTGGGGAATTTGGTGGGAGACAATGTATTGTCGGATGTCGACCATGGGTCCGGGTGTTGTGAGGGCGATGTCGAAGCATTCGGTTCGGAGGCGCTTGATGGCGGCGACACTGTCCTTGCGCTCCACGGTGATCTGGCCAAGTCGAGTGCGGATGGCGCGTCGGGCATCACCAACGGGACCCTTGAGTGGGGAGGTTGGCTTCTTATGTTCCTCCCAAAAAGCTTTGCGGAAGGCCTTCATGCGCTGGTGGAGTTCGAGGTACTTGGTGTGAATCTGATCGGCGCTGGTGCTAGTTGCCGATGCGGCGGTGGATGGCTTTGGTGGTGCAGCTGCTTGTGTGGGAGCTGGCGCGGGGGTGGGCTGGGCGGTTGGCTGCTGTGGTGGTGCTTGCTGTCGAGCCTTCTCTGCAGCGGCCGCAGCCTCGGCAGCCTTCCGATCAGCTTCGTCCTTTTCCCTCTTCTGCTTCTCAGCGGCCGCCTGCTGCTCTTGCTGGGCTTTGATGCGGGCATCGGCCTGTTGAAGTTTGAGCTTGTGTTCTGCGGCTTGACGGGCGGCTTCTTCCTCGCGCTGCCTTGCTTCCAGAGCCCTTCGCTGAGCCTCGGCCTGCTCGCGGGCCTTCTCCGTCTTCAGGCGCTCAATCTCCTGCCGTTGAGCCTCTTCATGGCGAAGGCGCGCCTGCTCTTCTTCCAGGGCAATGCGTTCAATCTCAAGCTTCGCACTCCTGAAGACGCGCTCGTGTTCCTCGGCAGCGTAGGCGAGTTGTTGAGCATGTTGTTTCGCGCGCTCATTCGCAGCTTGGTCCAGCTTCTCGTTGAACTCTCGGTCGGATATGCTGAGGCGGAGGTTGAACTCGAGGGCTAATTGCTTGGCCGGGCTCTCATAGGGGTCGCGGATGAGGGATTCGCGCTTTTGGCGGTGACTGCTGCGGCGATTCGGCGATTGGCGTGTTGGCGAGGCGTCCATGAAGCTGGAGCTGAAGGAGGTGGCGGTATGCATGCTCGACGACGAGGTGCCCGATCTGGCGGGCATTCTGGCGCCGTGACGTTAGTTGGGGTCAGGGTGCAGTTGTTGAAAAGGTGGTTGGTGAGAGCGCGACGGTCAAAGAAGTCTAGTCGGAAGCTAGCAGCGACCAGCTCCGACTCACGTGACATCGCTCATCCCTGCAGCAGCTTTCACCGCGCTACGCAGCTCCATTGTAGTGCTGGCTAGCGTACCTGTGAACATCAACGGGTCGCGCTCTTCCCAAGTCGAAGCACTCGCTCGATGTCTGACGTAGCTTCATTCGCAGCTCCACCTGGGCCGTCGATTGATTAAGATGAGATGGAGTCAAGGACGCTGAGTCGCGCCTTGGGCAAACACGCCATGTTGCGCCTTTCATAAAGTTCACAGGATGCGTCTGTGCCCAAGCTGGTGGGACTGCACCCGCCAAGCTGCGACGCTGTGAGGGCACGCGCAGGCCCTGGAGAGGGCCGTTTCACTGACAGAATGTGACAAGCTGGGGAACGATGTGACTCCTGTCCTCGAGTTTCAGCGCGGCATGGCGCGCGAAGCCAGCATATCTGTCAGATTGTTGGACTATCGAATGCCGGACATGACAAGCTCGCAACCCCAGCGCAGTGGATCCATCAATATAACCTCGACCCTTGCGCCGCCCTCCCGCGACGCTGCAGCGGACTGTTGTTCGTGTCTAGAAACGCGCGCCGGCTAAGCCTGCCTTGAAACGTACAGACCCAAACGTGATGCTTCACCTGGGGCGCGCTGAGACGCATGCCGACTGCTGCTGGCGGTATATATACCAGCTCTGAGCCGGCAGCGCCTCAGCCCCCACGGCCCGGCGCTTGCTTGTATCTACGTTAATTTCTCACTCCTTCAGTTCGGCGCGGGAAGCTGCATATCTGGCTTCGCAAGTGACGTACGCCGCTTAGACCTCTCCCAGGCTCGCTCGTTTGCGGAAGAACAGGCGATCTTTTCCCAAACCGTGCTGCTGGCCAAGTCCCGCCATAGCCATCACCACCTCGAGCACGCTGACGGCCCTCTTGCCTGCCCTCTGCCCTCTTCCTGCATCCCTCCTGCCCGCCCGCCCCGATCGCTCCCTCCTTCGAAGCACTCTCTCCGCCCGCATTTTGGTTGTACTGCCACCAACAGCCCGCCCCAGGGAAACCGCGCTCTTTGATCTGGTCGACCCTCCTTATCAACCCTCCTAGACCAACGACACATCTGTCTGAACACGACACCACCCGCTTCTGACTTGCAGAGCACCACCCCGAGTAATCATCGTCTACGAGAGTATCCTCTTCGCCCCGAGCACCGCCCAACCAGCACGCTTACCCCAACGTGAGTTGTCCCCCGCTAGCTCGCTCGCTGAAGCATGCCGCTGCCGACCCTGCATCTGTCCCCCATCTGCCTCCTTGCACTCTCACCACCTGCATCCCTTCGCTCGCTCGCTCGCTGCAGACTTCATCCGACACACCATGCTGATCGCCCGCAGATAAATCCATCACACTTTTGACCAATTCGTGTCCGACCGTCTCTTCTCCAACAGCATACACTGCAAGCGGGCATTGAATCATCCACACTACATTATCCACTATGGATCAGCAACAAGGCCAGCAGGGCCCCATGGGTCCCGCCGGTCGTCGTCTGCACATTGCGCATCGCCGCAGTCCGTCAGAGCTGACACCGCTGATGAGTACGTCGAGCTATCCGATAGCCACTTTGGGCCATTGCTGACAGCTGCACAGTGGAACAGCTCGCCATCGCACAGCAGATCGAGGTCCTCCAGCAACAGCAGCAGCAGATTGCCGCCACGCACCAGCAATATGTTAACATGGGCATGATCCAGCCGCAGCAGCAGCTCGGCAACTTCCAGATGCAGGGCCAGATGCCCAACGTCTCGCCCCAAGTCAACAACTACCAGTTCCCCCAGCAGATGCAGCAAATGCAGCAGCAGCAACACCTCGCTGTCCCCATGGGCGCACCAGCCCAGCCTGGCGCCCACCGCCGCAACCAGTCCGCCCTGCCCCAAGTCGGCATGGGCGGCCCACCCCCCGCTCCTTCCTCCGGTTCGTCTGGCTTCGGCGAGTTCGGTGCACAACAGGGTGGCCAGGGTAGGGAAAACGTCAACCCTCGTGGCCGAGGCGGTGGCAGTGCTGGCGGCTCCGGACACACCCGCCGTCACTCGCTAGCTCTCGCCGACGCGAAGAAGGCTGCCGAACAGGCCGAATCGAAGAGAAAGACCTCGGGCTTCCAGTTCCCTATCCCCGGCTCGACCGAGGGTAGCTCCAACCGCGATGCCAGCCCCAGTGGAAACAGCGCTTCCAACGACACTTCCGCCCGTGGTGGACGAGGTGGCCACGGCCGCAGCCAGAGCATGGCTGTCGGACGCGGCGGTGGAAGTGCTGGCCGTGGCGGTCCTTCCTTCTCCTTCCCAGCTACCAGCGAGAACCCTACCAACCAGAACAACGGACAGCAGTCTGACTTCCAGCGCCGTGGCAGCCAAGGCCATGGCAGGAGCCAGTCTCGCAACTTCGAGGGCAACTGGAGACAGCCCCAGAACAACACCCAGCAACAGCCTACGCAAGACAACCAGTCCCAAAACATGGGCAACTTCAACATGAACCAGACCGCCAATGCCGCTCCTTTCCAGCCTGGCCACCGCACTCGTGGATCGGTCAACCAGTCCGTTGGTTCCCTTGGCAACTTCCAGTACGGCGGCCAGCCTCAGATGCAGATGGGCAACCAGGCCCAGCTTCTCCTGCAACAGCAGATGTTCGGCCAGCCGCTAAACCCCATGCAGATCGCTCATTTACAGGCTCTCCAGGCCGCCCAGATGCAGGGCGGCGGTCTCGGAGGCAGCCAGCATGCGCCGCAGATGGGCATGCAGCAAAACCAGCAGCAGCAGCGCAAGACGCTATTCACTCCTTACCTCCCACAGGCCACCTTGCCCGCTCTCCTCGGCGACGGCCAACTCGTTGCCGGAATCCTCCGCGTCAACAAGAAGAACCGCAGCGATGCTTATGTCACAACTACTGATCTGGATGCTGACATCTTCATCTGCGGTAGCAAAGACAGAAACCGAGCTCTCGAAGGAGATCTGGTCGCTGTCGAACTTCTTGACGTCGACGAGGTCTGGGGTCAGAAGCGCGAAAAGGAAGAGAAGAAGAAGCGCAAGGACAACGCAGACCCTCGCGGCGGTAGTATCGCCGTCAACGATGCCACTACCCAACCTGAGACTGGCTCTGAGGGTGGCATCCGCCGACGTGGCAGTCTCCGCCAGCGACCCACACAGAAGAAGAACGACGATGTTGAAGTCGAAGGCCAGAGCTTGCTCCTCATGGAGGAGGAGGAGATCAACGATGAGCTCAAGCCTTTGTACGCAGGTCACATTGTTGCTGTTATCGAGCGTGTTGCTGGACAGATGTTCTCAGGGTAAGCAAGCACATAATCTTCATTCAAGTACTTCACTAATCACAGCCACAGATCCCTTGGACTCCTGCGTCCCAGCAGCCAAGCCACCAAGGAGAAGCAGGAAGCTGAGCGACAGGCTCGCGAGGGCAACTCCGGTCGCTCCCAGCCAGAGACCCAGAACAAGCCTAAGATTGTCTGGTTCAAGCCAACAGACAAGCGTGTGCCTTTGATCGCCATTCCCACCGAGCAAGCCCCACGTGACTTCGTCGAGAAGCACCAAGACTACGCCGACCGCATCTTTGTCGCATGCATTAAGCGATGGCCCATCACCTCTCTGCATCCTTTCGGTACTCTTGTCGAACAGCTCGGTGTCATGGGTGACCTTAAGGTGGAAACCGACGCACTACTGCGCGACAACAACTTTGGTCCAGATGACTTCTCCGACGCTGTCATCAAGAACGTCGGCTTTGAAGACTGGTCCGTCACCAACGACGGCGAGGAGGCGCTCGAGAGCCGCCGCGACTTCCGCAGCGAGGAGACCTTCACCATCGATCCCAACGGCAGCAAGGAGCTTGATGATGCCATTCACTTCAAATACCTTGATGACGGCCGTGTCGAGATTGGTATCCACGTTGCTGATGTTGCCCACTTCATCAAGGCCAACTCGCTTGTTGACCGTGAGGCCAAGAAGCGTGGAACTGCGGTCTACCTTATGAACCGCACCGTGAACATGCTTCCGCCGCGTCTGTCGAACGACATCTGCTGCCTCAACCCTGGCGAGGAGCGCTACACAGTCAGTGTCGTCTTCAAGGTCGATCCTACCTCTGGTAAAATCTCAGATGATGAGACCTGGGTCGGCAAGGCTGTGATCAAGAGCTCTGGAAAGCTGTCCTACGACGAGGTCGACACCGTTATCAACGGTAACGACGGTCCAGTCTCGGCAGCCCGTGCTAAGGACATCAAGATGCTGCATCACATCTCCCAGAAGTTCCGCCAGGCTCGCTTCGGCGACCGCTCCAGCGATGTCAAGGCTCTGCGCCTCATGTACCAGCTGGACGACGAGAATGTTCCCGTCGAACAGAACATCTTCGATTCTTCCCCTGCCCACGAGTGCATTGAGGAGCTCAGCCACCTCGCCAACACCTTTGTTGCGAAGAAGCTCGCCACTGGCTTGCCAGAGAAGGCTCTCCTGCGCCGTCAGCCTCCGCCTAACCCCCGCCGCTTGACGACCATCGCAGAGCGTATGGGTGCCATTGGCTACGACATCAACACCGAGAGCAGTGGCACTCTCCAGAACAGCTTGTTTGAGGTTGAAGACGATGACATCAGGAAGGGTATGGAGACCCTCGTCATCAAGTCGATGCCTCGTGCCAAGTACTTTGTTGCTGGCAGGCTGCCTCAGGATCAGTACCCTCACTACGCCCTGAACCTTCCCCTCTACACCCACTTCACCAACCCATCCCGCCGCTACGCCGACATCATTGTCCACCGCCAGCTGGAGGCTGTCCTCTCCAACGGTGCCATTGAGTTCACTGAAGACATCGAGGCTTTGGCCAAGACTGCCGAGATGTGCAACACCAAGAAGGACTCCGCCCATGCTGCTCAGGAGCAGAGCGTTCACATCGAGGCTTGCCGCAAGATGGACAAGGTCAGGCAAGAGAGGGGCGGTGATCTCATCGCCGAAGGTATCGTCCTTTGCGTGTACGAGTCCGCTTTCGATGTCCTTATTCCCGAGTGGGGCTTTGAGAAGCGCGTCCACTGTGACCAGCTTCCTCTTAAGAAAGCCGAGTTCGACAAGAACAAGCGTCTCCTTGAGCTCTACTGGGAGAAGGGCGTTCCATCGTCCAACTACATTCCCGAGGACGAGAGGCCGAAGCATGGCTCACTCAGATCCGCCAACGCTGCGGCTGCGGCGCGTGATGCTGAGGCGGCTAAGCAACGTGCGAGGGAGCAGGAAGAGGCCCAGCGCAGGCAGATGGACACTGGAACCATGTCGACCAACGAGGAGGCTGCGTTGTTTGATGATGACGACGATGACGACGACTCCAACGACCTCAACTCGAACATGGCCGGTGTTTCTCTCAACCCTGACCGCCCGACTCAGAGCATGCCTCCATCGCCTACCCGCCGCGATCTTGCTGGTGCTCCTCACCGTGTCAACTCCGACTCGAAGATCGCCCAAAGCGCTGGTGATGCTGCAGAATCCAAGTTGACCAACAAGGAGAAGTACCTCAGCTGGTTCACTCTGCGCGAGCAGAACGGCGACTACATCCAGGATGTGCGGGAGATGACACGCGTCCCAGTCATCCTTAAGACGGATCTGACGAAGAGCCCTCCGTAAGTAATGCCCATCACTACGTTCTGAATGTCACTAACCTATCTTTCAGTTGCTTGACCATCCGATCTCTCAACCCCTACGCTTTGTAGATGAGACGTCTCGCTCAGTCCGACCTGGTATCCGGCCTTTTCGGTAGCTTATGTCGACTTGGTATAGAAAATTGAATGGAGGATACATACTAGGTTGTGCAGGAGGAGATGAACGGTGATCTGTGTATTGTTTATTTGTATGCGACGACGATATCGGCAGTCGCGATATATCGTTGCAGCTCTTATACACAGTAATTTTCCGTAGTACAGTAATGTGTTTATCCCTGCGAGAGCGCCTCTGGCCATGCATAGTTCACTTTGGTTTCTTTTGGTACCCGCCTGCATTGACACCCACTCCCCACATCTCGTTCAGGCCTGGATAAGGCTGCTCAAGAGCCGTACAAGGCGACAAGGCAACGAAGTGAGCAATAGTGTGCCCCCTCATTGACATCCTGATTACTACATTGGAAACGCGGCCTCAGACAAAGATTGGTTGGTTTGAGGTGGAAACATACCGAATCGTGACCTCTCCTCGGCATGATCGAATGTGACAAGCCGCGCTATACAGCATCAGGTCGATGCCGTGCAATCCGAATCTTGACCAGCGGATCTGCGACTTCCCATCCCCTGTCAGAGGCGGTCTGTGTACCTGCATGTGTTTGCTGTAGCGAACGAGAGCCTGACGGCCTGAACCGCAGCCGAAATAGCAGTGGTTCTCCATGAGGCTTGGCAACGTGAAGACGTTTTGGGTGCATCAGCCACCCGATAATCCATCCCTCTTAACCTCTCAACCCATCTGGGGTTCTCTCGGCGCAACACGCAAGCGCTCACGACACCACGATACCCTTATAGAAGTATTTACAATCATGACTGCGCTATGAAATACGGCCAGTAGCTTGATGTTGAAACGTTTCGCTAGCTCTTCGCTGCTGGAAACACACCCCACCAGCGTCATGACAGATGAGGAGCCCGACTGCTTCAAGCCTCAGATGGTGAGCCACCTCACGGATCCGGTCGGAAAGTCAGAATACCGCCATTAATCGCCATGCACTATTACGGTACCCAGGTTTTCTCGAGGGCGGCTCTACTGCCTCCGCGCACGCGTTGGCACTTGTAGGGTTTCATGATAGCCGTTTCGCGTCGCAGGGCCCCGGACCTGCTACATCACATGCCGGCACCACGAGCCCCATCGCCACAAGCCGGGCTTCCTCAGCGGTTGCTACACTGCTAGCGAGCAGTTCCTGGACGATCAATGGGTCGATTTGCCAAGCTTTGAAGCTTGTAGGGTCACGGATCCAGTATGGAGGCCAGTGCGCCAGCGGGAGGCAGTCGTCCGCCACATGGTCAACATCCGTACTCCGAATTTTAAGATGGCGTCTCAGATGGTGCCCAGGAGTTGCAGCTGCTTGTATAAGGTCCATTGGCCGCCCACCTTGTTTCCATACTCGTTTTCAGTTGGATCATCAACGAGCTTCTTCTACCTTCCTACCTAATAATCAACCACATTCCTTACGGTTTACCTTCTTTCAGTCCCTGGTTGGACTTTAGACAATTTTTAATAATCGAATTCAAAGCAAGTCTTTGCTGGCGGTCTCTCTTTACGAACTTGTCTACTCGAAAACAATCCAACAAACCTAATTCAACCAACATGCCTAGCGTATCAACCATCCTCAAGGGCCTCGTTGCCCTGGCGCCTCTCGTGGCTGCCGCCCCCGCAAACTACGCCCGTCAAGAGATGGCTTCCATGTCGAGCGCTGCCGCTTCTGCCACCTCCTCTGCGCCAGCTGCCATCACTGAGACCGCTGGAGGTAGCGAGGCTGCCGCCGCATCACCGGCTGCAGCTGCACCGGCCGCAGCAGGAATGTTGAGCGATGTCGACATCCTCAACTTGTAAGTAGCTTTGGATCAACGATCACAATGAGCTGGATCTAACAGTCACTGCAGCGCCCTGACCGCCGAGCATCTCGAATCGGAATACTACAAGCAGGGTTTCGCCAAGTTCTCCATGTCCGACTTCATGGCTCTCGGTCTGAGTGAAGGTCAGGTCAAGTCCCTCATGGGTGTTGGACAGACTGAGGCCACCCACGTCACTACTCTCCAATCCGCCATTGCAGGAGCCGGCGCAAAGCCCGTCGAGCCATGCCAATACAACTTCGACGCCGCCCTTACCAGCGCCGACTCCATGGTCAAGACTGCCCGTGTCCTTGAGGCCGTCGGTGTCTCTGCTTACCTCGGTGCCGCTCCCCTCGTCAACTCTTCCGACATCCTGTCCGCCGCTGGTTCCATCGTCACTGTCGAGGCCCGTCACCAGGCTTTCATCCGCATCGCATCCGGCGCCGAGCCCGTCCCCGCCGCTTTCGACACTGCTCTCCAACCCCGCGCCGTCTTCACCCTCGCCGCCCAGTTCATCAAGTCCTGCCCCGAAGGCTCCAACCTCAACATCCAGGCCTTCCCTGCCATCGCTCTCCAGAACCCCGAGAAGGCTACCGTTGGCCAGAACTTGAAGCTTGCCGACCCCGCTCAGCCTGCCGGTGCCTCTTTCTGCGCTTTCGTCGGACCGTAAGTCACTCCACACACTCCTTTACGATGAACCGCAATCTAACATCTCACAGTGGCGGCAACCAATTCACCAAGATCGCCGATGGCAACTGCATGGTTCCCCAGGGCCTCCAGGGAGAAGTCTACATGATGATCACCAAGAGCGAGTCCGTTGCCGATGCCGAGGTCCTTGCCGGTCCCTCCGTCATCCAGCCCTCATAGACGTCTTCACCCACATGACGAGACGAACTTTCAGAACGCATTGTCTTTCCCATTTCATTATCATCATTTCCAAAAAGAGAAAAGACAAGGGCTGAACGACCAAGGGGCCAGTGGGCGAGCAGAAGCATTACAGGAGCGAAGGGCGCGACTGTCGAAAGCGAGTATGTGTATATGGACGATTTACCTTTCCTCACAGTCGTTGAAATACAAGCGTTGATCTCAAGAACGGTTTTTTTCCTATCCATTTTCTTTCCTTTTCAGCATGTGGTCAATGGTGGACAGTTGTAGAGAGAGACAGAGAGCACGAGAGAGAAGAGACAACAGGATACCCCCAGCATGGAGGATGGCATGGTAACGGGTGAGCGTCGATTCCGCGAATCGCGCTCAGAAACGGAGGTAATAATAGCAGGGTATAGCATGAAATGAGAACGATTAACGATTTTCACATCTGGAACTGCGGTTGATACAAGTGACATGTCACAGTCTTTTTGCGACGTGGATTGCGACGTAGAGTGACGCGACTAAGTTGTCTTGCGACTGTGACTGTGTTGGTTTCAGCGTCCTCGCATTTTGTCGACGCTTTGGGTTTGGTGCGATGTCTTATTCGGGTTTGAGTTGGTCCGTAACAATGTGATTAATAACACGCCGTGACATTCAAACGCATGTGTACGTTTTCGAAGTTGCGGTGTCATAATCCATCTCTCTACCAGATCTCTAGGCTTTAGTTATGGCCGTAGTTGTACTGTAGTAATTTCAAGATAGCTAGCGGCGGTTTACTCACGGAAAGTTCGCACCTTCCGAAGATCAACCGTCCCCTTCCCTTTTTAGCCACCCGGGCAGTTCGATCCACCAGCCACCTCGTTGCTGATTAGCCGTATGTCGGACCGGCTGCAAAGTGTGGGGATCCCACCCATTCCCCGCCTTGTGCGCGTGTGCTAGAGAACGTCGGCGGTGGCTAAAAAGATATGGTCTAGATGGAGTGGTTGCTCGCAGTTTTCGGCTGCTTTAAGTAATAGTTGCGAGACTGCGAGGTTATGGGCCTGAAGTTGAGATTAGTGATATAAAGGCCTCGTCGAGTGGTGGTTGTCTTGTCGTGCGCCCTTCTTGGTATTGAGGTTGTTGAGCTTGAGGGTGGAAAACGTCATACCTACCTGCCTTTGGAGGAGTTGGGTCAAGCTCGTATCTGCGCGTATCTCTCGTCAGCCCTTTTTACTTTTACCGCTACTCTTGGCTTTATATCCCTCTGACTCCAAAGCTTCGACATCGAACTTCTTCTTCATCCACGCCGTCCCTTGGATTGACAGTAGGTCGCAACTAGTCTGTCAACCGTCGCCATCTCAACAACCCAAACAATGGCACTGCACCACCAAAACGGCACCTCGTCAACTTGCCTCGAGCAGCCCATCGAACTCCAAGACGTATCGAGCTATATCTCCAAACCTCAAGATGCACAGATCGCTAGTTCGAGCAGTACAGGCGGCCTGCGACTCTCGGATACGAAAGGTGCCAGGGAAAGCGATCCGATAGAGAATTTACCGTCGCCAACGACACAAGCGCCAGCCAAATTGGAACGATGGAACCATCCACGATCGAATTTATTCAAGACTATGGCGGCGTTTTGGAGTTTTGTCGTTATGGGGAGTAATGATGCGGCGTATGGTGCTTTGATTCCTTATGTAAGTCAACGTCGTTCTTCTGAGTGTAGAAGTCGCGACTCTTGAGAAGGGGGAAAGAAGCGCGTGCTAACAAACGATTTCAGTTGCAAGAATACTACGGTCTGACTTTCGTCGTCATATCGCTAGTATTCTTGTCTCCACTCGTCGGCTACACAGCTTCCGCGTTATTGAACAACAGCATCCATCTCAAGTTCGGCCAGAGAGGCGTTGCGGTTATAGCGCCGACGTGCCATCTCATCGCGTACATCGTTATTGCGGTACACCCTCCGTATCCGGTCCTCGTTATTATTTTCATGTTGGCTGGGTTCGGGAATGGACTTGCTGATGCGGCGTGGAGTGAGTATCCTAATCTCTTCTTCTCTGTTCCGATAAAAGAGAAGGTGAAGAACAGAAAGACGGAAAATTTCGACTGACAATACAACTCACAGATGCCTGGATCGGCAACATGGCGAACCCAAACGAAGTTCTCGGTTTCCTCCACGCATTCTACGGCGTAGGCGCCGTGCTATCCCCCTTAATAGCAACGACTATGATCACAAAAGGAAGCAGACTACCCTGGTACACCTTCTACTACGTCATGGTACTTTCCCTTCCCTCATCCCTCCTCTACCCCTCCATCTAACA